GGCGCCATTCCTGAGAAGCCTCTGTGGTCTGTGAGGGTGGTAGCTCTGTGGCTCCAAGCCTGGGTCCCACTGTTTGCCCAGAGCACAGTGACCTCCATTGTTGCCTTGAGGCCCAGTAGGTGGGCAGTCCAGGGTTGCTGAGGATGAGAGGGGCCCCCAGGGATGCAGGATGCTGTTGGAGGCTTACCAGCCACGGGGAGCGTTTGAGGTGCTAGGCCGGTCAGGTGCAGAATTCCAAAATCTCTGCCCAGGGTCTGCTTGTGAATTCCACTAAGGAGGGTCTCATTCACCCGGTCACTTACTAGACAACTACTCTGCCATGCCTGGCACTGTAGTTACAGAAATGCATCAGCTGTGACCCCTGTCCACAAGGAGATCCCCGCCTGGCTCTGTGGCCAGGCCTGCCGGGCGCGCCTCTTCTTTGGGAAGGGTGCTGTGGTACCGATCGCTCCCGTGCATCCTTCCCTGCTTGCTCTGAAAGCTACATCAGGACCTGCTCTGCCCGGCTCAGTCTCGCCCTGCTATGCCCCAACCCTCGGACATCCAGGCTTCGTGGGGTCTCTTCTTCTCCTTCACTGTGGCCTTGGGCCTCTGCCTCTGGGAAGCACCTCCCTGAGCACCTCTCCATCATTCTGGGAGGGGCTGAGGGGTCAGCACTGTCCATTGCTCTGTCTTCCTTTTATGTTCTCTTCTTTCTTTCTCTGCTTCTCTGTTCTGCTCTTCCTCTTCCTGTACCTCCTCAGCCCTCTCCATCCTGGCCCGGGCTGCCCTTCACAGCTGGATTTGCAGTTGTTCGTGTCAGAATGGCCACCTGGCTCCAGCCCCTGCCACTCCTCCACCCTCACCTGGGCCAGCTTCTTCTCCCCACCTTTGTGCTTCCTGTGGCCCATAGCTTCCTCCTCCCAGAAGCTTCTCCTTGCCTCTTCCCGCCCAGGGCTTCGCCAACCTCTGCTCCTCCCCCCCCACCCTGCCCTCTCCCCTCCTGACCCCTCCTCTGGAGAGAGACAGGGACTGGCGACCTGTGAGACCTGTAGCTGGGGGACACGGAGGGGTGCCTTCCCAGCCACTCCAGTAGCACCTTGCCCTCTCCCGCCCCCATTTCTTCTTTGAGCTCCTTCGACATCCACAGTGACTGTGACTGAGGCCCACAGCCATCCTCCCCCTCCGGGGCCTCCTCCCACCCCGGGAGGCCTCGGCCTGCTTTCACCAGCCACTTTGTCGTCCTGCTCCACTGGCCTTCTTGCTGTCCCCCACCCCTTCCTTGTCCTCTCCCCCGTCGCCACCTCCCTCGGCCACCTCTCCAGTAGCAGCTTCCTCCCGCCCTCCCCTCCTCCCCACGGTGCCTCTGTAACCTGTCTCCCCGCCAGGGCCCGAGTGTGCAAAAAATAAATAAATAAAAAGGTCAGTGAGTGGAGGGAGCAGCAATAACCCCTAAAACAGTACTATCAGTGGAACATGATTGATCAATTGAATTCCATAGCGGCTGAAAAATGTGGGATTAAGTAGTGTATTATACGCACAATGAGTTGAGGCATGATGTTCATTTCAAGTTCATTTCGCCGGCCTCTGCCACCAGATCAGGCAATCAATAGGGGCAGCAGATATCATATATCACCTCTCTGCAGGCCGGGGAGAGAGCACCATAATCTCTCGCAAATTTAGAGTGACAGATTTGTCAAGATCTGAAGGGCCCCTGAATAAATGAAGGCAAAGGGACTCCTCCAGCCAGTGACCTGAGGACACAGCTTCAGTTCAGCCCCTGCACACACACACACACACACACACCCACACACACACACTCACACTCACACACACAGGCATGCACAGGGTGAGCTAAGCCACACACAGGCATAAACACAAATCCACGCAGAGGAGAGACCCGGTGGAGCCTGCCACATACCCACATGCACACGCCCGCAAGCATCGCGTGTGAACACCCCTCTAGAGGCTCGTGTGCACTCTCTCCCGCAGCCCCCTGGGTGACACAAAGTGGCCACACACAAAGACCCTGGCTGCCTCCCTCAGCCCAGTAACAGGGCTTCCCTCGAAGGGAGGGGCTACAGGGGGAGGCCTCAACAGCAGAACATGGGGATGGCTACCTGGAAGTGAAATCAGGCCGATGCACATCCTGGAGAGAGAAGCAGTCACGGAAGTATGGGGATCCAGGCCCTTGCTTCCACGCAGTCACACAGGTACACACGTCCTTCAGAACGATCCCTGCTCTGCCATACAAGCATGCATATCCCCTTCCATCCAGAGAATACTCGTACAACAGGAAAACATGTGCCACACCCCAGTTCCCACTCAGGACCCTCACACTCAGGAACCTCACACACAGGAACCTCACACTCACGGCCCTCACACACAGGGCCCTCACACACAGGGACCTCACACACAGGGCCCTCACACTCAGGAACCTCACACACAGGAACCTCACACTGAGGGACCTCACACTCAGGGCCCTCACATTCACAGCCCTCACACTCACGGCGCTCACACACAGGAACCTCACACTCAGGGCCCTCACACACAGG